TTTGTTTATTTTTATGTATATGTGTATGTGTGTGTGTGTGTGTGTGTGTGTGTGTGTGTGTGTGTGCGTGCGTGTATACCTTCGTGGTTGCTCTTTATCCGTCGATATTTCCGTTCTTTGTATGTTTGTCCATTTTTGTATGAGTATTTCTGTGTTTGTTTGTATTATCCAATTACGAAACTACAGATACTAAAAAGATGAAACTTGAGGAAAGTTATTTTTAACTTATGCTGTACCATAAACTCGAAGCCAATTCGCATTTTTTTTTTTTTCTTTTGCACTGAGCTTTAGATTAGAATTTGGTTATTTTGATTACATGAAAGCAAGCAATATGCATGTTGAGGTTTTGGGGTCCCAGTTTGCCAGGCAATTCAAAAAAGCAAATATAAATTTAATTTAAATATCTTGAAATGCAGTTCGCTTTAGGTTTATTATGCATTTTATGTTGTGTAACAGCAGTACAAAAGGCATTTTGTCACGGGGTTGTCTGTTTTTTTTGTCCGCAGCAACTTGTCCGCAACTTTCAACTCGGGAACCACAAAAGCTAGGAAGCTGGAAATTTAGGGTAACGTTTCCCGCAGCAACTTGTCCGCAACTTTCAACTCGGGAACCACAAAAGCTATGAAGCTGAAAATTTAACGCAGCAACTTGTCCGCAACTTTCAACTCGGGAACCACAAAAGCTAGGAAGCTGAAAATTTAAGGGGGCAGCAACTTGTCCGCAACTTTCAACTCGGGAACCACAAAAGCTAGGAAGCTGAAAATTTAGGGGGGCTTTCCCACCCACGTGTGACCCCGCAAATTTAAATTCAGCCTTCCCGTATTCGCGGGGAACAGGTACGGACCCGTAAAAGTTTGGGCAGGTAAAGTTATTATCACAGGAACCATGGAAGCTAGAAGGCTGAAATTTTGTGGGCGTATCCCCTGCCCAAACGCGGCTCAGAAAATTTAAATTCAGCTTTCCCCTGCCCGCGGTTTGGCGGGTAAATTATCGTGGGAACCGGGGAATCTAGGAAGCTGAAATTTTAGAGTAATGACCCTCTGCCCTAGTACGACTTCGCAAATTCAAATTCGGCGTTCCTGTACTCTCAGGTATCACCTATTTCTCCATGAAAGTTATGGCGAGGAAATTATTATCTCCGTAAGCATAAATGCCAGGAAGCTGAAATTTTATGACAATCTCTTCTGGCCACGTGCAGTCCTGCAATTTTAAATTCGACTTCCCGCGCGTGTATAAATTACAAATTACAGCCTCGTGAAAGTTACGGCATAAATTACAGCCTGTATAAATTACAGCCTCGTGAAAGTTACGGTAGGGAAAATTATTATCTCGGGGACCGCGGAAGTTGGGAATTTTAGGGTGATCTCCTCTACAAACGTACGAATTCGCAAGTTTGGACTCTGCCTTCACGCACCCTGGGTACCACATACAGCCCCGTGAAAGTTTTGATAGAGAAATTATTATCTCGTGTGCGTGAAAATTTTAGCGGCAAATTCCGCAGCTTAAGAATCAGACAACATTTCAACTGTTTTTGCACAGACCAAAGTTCAAAGCAGTGAAAATCATTAGCAGGCAATCGTTCGGTGAACAGATTTGCACAAAACGCATGAACGCACCAACTGCTCTGGTGCGCGCCACTATTTATATTTTCAAAACGGGACAGGGGGGGATAAGGAGTTGCCATAAAGCTGTAGAACGAAACAAGCCGCAAATCTGAAATTTTGGTGCTTTTCATGCACGGATTCCTTCAAAAGATTGTAATGCCGATCTCATCTGTGTGTCTGCTGAATTGTTGCAAAGCAAGTATCTTGATGCGCGCTGTCGGTTTTGCTTTTATGC